CGAGGGCTAACTTTTCCAGCTGACTGTATCGCGTTTCTGCGTCAAGGAGTGACTTACTTACATAGTAGATCGGCAACTGCTGCATTTCTTCTTCCCGAACTAGTACTGTTGAGATAGCTGTCTCTGAGACCGCTAGGTAAGAGTAGAGCTTCTCCCCGTCCACAGGTTTGGAGAGGAGCGGAGGGGAGGTAAGGTACCTTTTCAACTGTTGCAAGGCTTCTTTCCAGGAGGCAGTCCACTCGAACTTCTTGGACTTCTTGAGGGCATGGAAGAAGAGATGGCACTTGTCGGCTGGCCTGGAGATGAAGCGGCTCAAGGCGGCTACACGTCCTACGAGACGTTGGACGTCTTTCATGCAAGTTGGAGACGGTGTACTAAGGATTGCTCTAATTTGGTCAGGGTTGGCTTCTATCCCTTGCTGAGTCACCATGTAGCCCAAGAACTTTCCTAACGAGACCTCGAATGAGCACTTGGTTGGATTTAGCTTCATGTTGTACTTCCTGAGGATGGTAAATGTCTGGCTAAGGTGGTCGAGGTGCTGTTCGATCATCAGTGACTTGACGAGCATGTCGTCGATGTATACCTCCATGGTGTCTCCTAGGTACTTGGCGAACATCTTGTTGACCAGCTGCTGGTAGGTGGCTCCAGCATTCTTCAGGCCGAATGGCATCACCTTATAGCAATTAGTTCCCCTTTCCGTGATGAAGGCTATCTTCTCTTGGTCGTCTGGGTGTATCAAGATCTTGTTGTACCCTGAGAAAGGATCCATGAAACTAAAGAGCTCGTGACCTGCGGTTGCATCGACCATCATGTCGATATGTGGGAGCAGGAAGGAATCCTTGGGGCAGGCTTTGTTTAAGTCTGTGAAGTCGATGCATACTCTCCATTTCCCATTCTTTTTCTTTACGACCACGACATTCGGTAGCCATTCGGGGTAGTGGAGCTCTTTGATCATACCATTGCTCAGGAGCTTCTCGACCTCTTCGTTGACAATTCAGTTACGCTCTGGTGCAAATTTCCTTCTCTTCTATTTCACTGGTGGGTGATCTGGGTCTACCTTGAGCTTGTGGACCATTGCTTCCAGGCGGACTCCGGTCATGTCAACGTAGGATCAGGCGAAACAGTCTTGGTTCTGTTTGAGGAATTCTATCAACTTCTCTCTTGTCTCGGGCTTGAGGCGGGATGCTATGTGTGTCTTTCTCTCGGGATCATCTGGATGTATCTGTACTTCATCCAACTCTTCCATAGATGGTTGATCGGGATTGGTCGGTGGGGTTAGATGAGACTGTAATTGCTATGAAGAGTTACCCTTGCCTTTGAAGGCGTTCTTGTAGCAATCTCTGGAAGTTTTGGGGTCACCCTTTATCTCTTGTACCCCCCACTTGGTAGGAAATCTGATCGTCTAGTGGAAGGTATATGAGACTGCCCGCATGTCGTGGATCCAAGGTCAGCCCAAGATGATGTTGTATGGCGAGGGGCAGTCGATTACTAGAAAAATGGTTTGTTTGTTAACTCCGCCAACATAGATAGGGAAGATGATCTCCCTGATAGTATACTTCTGCTCAGAGCTGAAACCAACTAGCAGCGTCGGCCGCCTGTTGATGTTTGCCTCTTCCAATCCCATAGCCTTCACTGTTTCGAGAAATAGGATGTTTGCTGAAGAGCCTCCATTTACGAATACTCTTTTTACTAGGATGTTGGTGACCTGCAGGGAGATGACTAGGGCATCGTGATGAGGAGCGGCTAAGGCGACCAGTTCGTCATCTTCAAACTGAATTACCTGATGAGTGTGTGACCAAGAGATCAGATGGATGGACTGGACTTCATGGTGGTGGTTGGCTCTAGCGTATCGCTTGGCCGATGAGTAACTTACTCCACTGATCTCTGATTCTCAAGAGATGAGCGAACAGAAACCTTTTGGTTTAGGTTCTCGCGGAGGTGGTGATGGTTCTTTTGAATTCTTATGGCTGATGGTGTTCTTCCCCTTGTCGGTTAGCAAATCCCGGGGATGTCCCCTCTTTAGAAGTGCAGCGACCTCCAACCATAAGGCGATGCAGTCTGCGGTATTATGCCTATGATCACCATGGAACTCGCACCATTTGGTCTTGTCTTTCCTTGCCTCAGGATTGAGCTTGCCTGGCCACTTAACAGTGGATTCCTCGAAGACCTGGGTTGGCTCGACATTGAGGTTGTATTCCGGTAACTTGTATTGGTTCGGTCAGAATTGTCTGCTCTCGGTTCTTGTCGGTGGATGATCATACGGTTTCCTTGCTCTGTTTGAATTACGTGCTAGAGGTTGGTAGCGGTGCTCCGCTGGCCTGTGTTCTGGCTTCTTGTCATTCCGCCTTGAATCGTATCTGGAGTGAATCGTTCGGTTTATTTCATCCTCCTCCCACCTTATTTGGATCATTGCCCGGGCCAGGGCGTCTTCCATTGTGGTGCAACCCAGTTTTGTAAGTTCTTTGTATAGCTCCCCGTCTGGGAGGAGACCCTTCTTGAAGGCATCTACAGTTGTCTCAGGGTTACATGTAGGGATGGAGATCTTCTCTTTGTTAAACCTGCTGACATACTCCTTCAGTGGCTCTCCCCTTCTCTGGTATACTCTATATAGGTCAGCCGACAACTCCTCGAGTTTCTTACTGCTGGCGAACTGTTCAACAAATGTGTCAGTGAGTTGAGCGAATGAATTGATGGATCCGTTCGGGAGGTTCGTGTACCATTGGAGTGTTAGGTTGGATAAACTTAAACCGAAACTGTTGCACATGCAGGCTTCCTTAAGCGATCGGGGTTTGGAGACAGTGAACATCCGCTGCTTATACGAGGCTACGTGATCGTCCGGATCGGTTGTGTCGTCGTACTGTTTCATGTTGGGGATAGTAAACTTCTGAGGCGTGTCGGCTAGGGCGATCTCATCCATGAAGGGTGAATCCGCGTAACAATGGGGCATGCTCTTCTTGGTTGGGATCGGCATTCCTGGAATGCGTCGCATCACTGCTTCCATATCGGCCAATCTCTTGGCTAGTACCTGTTCCATAGGAGAAGATGACGCCACTAAGTCATCTCGCATGATCGGGTCAGCCTTTGCAATTGTCTTTGGTACATTCCATTGGGTCATCCCTCATGGGGTAATCTAACGAGTTGTTCCTTCGTGCGTTCCCTGGTAGCATAAATCTTCGGTCATTCCTTCTGGTTGGATGACTCCCATGGTAACTGTTCTGGTGTTTCACCCTACATAGATGGTCAGAGGAGTCCTCTGATAGTCATTCGGTTGGTTAGGGTGGATGGGCTCGGGTGCTGCTTGTTTAGTTTAGCCGTTCATCCCGTGAGGATGAGTCGAGCCGAGTGGAGTATGTGTTGGGATGGTAGACTAGATGTAAGGTGGGATGGTTAGATTGGGCTGGTCTTGTGGATGAGGGCTTTCTCCCACCGGGTCGTCTTGATCTTGATGTTGGGATGAATCGGCTGAATGATGTTCCACAGGCATATCTTTATCTCCATGGATCAGGACAGAATCGTTGACCGCATACAGGTTTAGTAGACGCGGCCTTTTGTCGGAGACCGAGGGTCGGTGCTCTGGCGTAATGAGAGGTTGCATGGACAAAACAGGGGTGTGGAACCGATTGGGGGGTGCCTGGCCAGGCAAGAACTCTAGATCATAGAATTGACTAACCTTCTCCTTGAAAGACTGGTTTTCTGACCTGATGGACATGTTTTCTGTCCAGATTGCATTGTTCTCGGCTTCTAATGCGGCTACCTTGTCCAAGTTCTGTTGCATGAGAGCAGTTAGAGCTTCCAATTTGGCCTCGAGGCCGGGGTTAGCGTTGTCGGAGTTGTCAGCCATGGAAAGTTCCTCTACGTAACAGGGTTCGTCGAGCCAAATGATTGCTAGAGGCCCCACGGTGGGTGCCAATCTATAGACATAAAAATCTACCTGTACGGAAGGGGGGTCTGATCCCGTGAGGTTGAGGCCACTAGCGATCCGCTGCACCTGCACACGTAGAAAGCAAACGCGTGAAGCGAACAAGAAACACCGGGGTGGTGTTTGCTGTAGGCACTCCGACGCTCAAGTTAGCAAGGCTGAAAGAGGCTAGTATAGTGAGGGATAGGGAGTAAAGAGGTTACCGGAAGTCTAGTCGGAGACTGTGACTACGACAATGATGTAAAGCTCTCAAGTGGGAGCTTCAGATGTGAAGGTGTAATGTAGTGTGTACACAGGATAACATCAAATTTGAAAATCTTGTTATGGGGGTGTTGGGGATTGATTATAATTTGTTTACACAGGAGTAGAGAATCTGTATAGAAGAAAAGTAAAAAAGAATGGGAGTGCAGGTCTAGTCCAAGGAAATTAGAAATTTATTTCTCACAAATTTAATTTAATTTAATTAATTAATTTATATATTTATTTTTTGTTGTTGTTTTCGTTTTTCTGAGTAACTATGAAACAATGGTGTCTCAGTATACATTCATATATATTTGAGATCACTAGCAGTTTGCTTGGTCTTACATGTTTCCCAGATGCTTTAAAGTTTGTAGATAAAATTTCAATAATGGCCACCCACGATTGGACATGCATGCATCAATTTAGGCCCTTTCAGTACATATCTTGGTTTTATCATTTTTGTACGTGCCTAGCCTGGTAATTATTATTATTATTTTGTATATTTGTTATTTTTGTTCTGGTGGGATGGGTTGCATTTATTCATCACATAATTTCAATATCTGATTGGACACCAGTAGTTATGGTGCTCAGTCATTCACCTATATAATTCAGAGATATATTACTTCTAACTGTTTAACTTGTTTTCTTTTACTTCTAACTGTTAGCATGTTTCCTTTTACTTCTAACTGTTATTGTGTTTTCTTTCAGAAATTTAAACCTTATAGATATGTATCAGTCATATTCCTAAGTAAAGTTAATATTTTCAATGACTTTTCAGTCGTTACGATTTCATGAAATTTAGTAATTTTGTAACAGTATTTTGTTGCCTATATAGGTGTTGGCTGATGACTATTCAAAGCTTGCATTTTTATGTGCTGATCATTCTGTTTGTCTACGTGCAAAATACGGAAAGCGCTATACTTTGTGGATTCCCAGGTTTTTTGATTGCTCAGTTGTTACTTGTTTCTGTTTCTGTTTCTGTTTCTGTTTCTGTTTCTGTCGTATGTCATCTTATATTATATATTTTGCATTAGTTATAATTGATTTAGATAATAGATGGTTGGATTTATTGATTTACTAGGCCTTCTAATGAGCTTTTTCCTTGATGTGCTAACATTTCATGTTACAGTCACACTGCTATTTTATTTCATATGGATGCCAAAATATTCTGAAAGATGATTAATTATGGAAGAAGAAACTTCAACTGGACTTCCTTTATGCATTATTGTGCAAAAAAAGTAGTGTTTTTAGGAATTTTAGGCCATGATATCAAGTTAAAATAGCTATTATAGGAATTGTTTTTTATTTCTTTAGTGTCTGTTAAGAGGTAGAGACAAGAAGTTGGTGCTGTCTTTGTTGACAAGAGTGAGAGGCCTAAACCAACTTATAATTGGTTTTGAGATTCCAATACAGTTAACCCCTGCTGCTGTCTGTGAAAAAGAAGACACCGGGGGGGTGGGGGTGGTTGGGGGACCTAAGAGGCATAAAGCATGGATGTCGTAATGAACTTATGATTGCTTAGAGGTTGTTTCTCTGGTGAGATTGATCTGTCAAAAGTGAAATTCGAACTCTGGAAAAGAATACCTTAACTTGTATAAATTTTCAGGGGTTCCAATTGCTTCTTAAATTTCTTGAAAATGGTGATGGTTTAATTTTGATTGGACTCTTATTTTTAATTTCAAAGCAAAAAATTCTTGATGATTTAGTAAATAATTGTTGCAATACTGATTGGGGATAAGCTCTTCTTAGCAATGGGCTGGCTGATTTGTGAAAAGAAAATATTTTGATGGATTTTATTTGATATTATTCAATTCAGTATTTTTTAACATAAGATTAGGGTTATTGCATCATATTTTTAGTCTCGGTTCCTGATAACCTCAGGGACTTATTTTTCATAAGTTGAGTGTGTTTAGGGTTTAGGAATTTTAGGGCTTAGTTATATCCAACTAGTGTAAATACTGCTTTATCAGAAAATTCACAACAGCATTGGATGAAATGAAATTCAGATTAGAGTTCTGAGCTTTTCCCTGCTTCTACTTTCCTATAACTTTAGTCTATTAGGGTTTGCACCCTTGGTATAATAGCTTGTGGGTTTAAAGCCCTCTCATATTTGCTTGTTGCTCTAAGTGCACATATTCATTTGAAATTAGAATTCCTCCAATAAAGTCTTAGAGTTTATCATTTTGGATATGGTTTAAGTTGTACTTATCAGTCTTTTAACCGTAGGATACAACAATCCTGTGCTCACTAATTGTCCTTTTTAGTCCAGGGCCTTGGGCAGATTTCTAGATTCTCATGTGTGATGCCTTATCATGCAAAATATCTTGGCCTATAAAGTGAATTTAGAAATTCTTCTTGTACCTTGGTATACATTTTTGTAATGATGGAAACAATCACAATTTTTGTATGAGTGGGATTTAGAGTGGAGGTGGTTAGCAGAAAGATTATAAGAACATCTCTAAGGGACTCTTTATATGACCAAAATTCTTTATTATAAAGAGTTTATCCATAAAAACAAGAGTCCAACAGACTCTTTATTTTTTAAATACAAATTAAAGAGTGAGTTTGACTCTTCACATTTAGAGAGTCAAATTTCACTCTCTATCCTAATTTTAATTAATAAATTATAAATTTTTATGCATTTTATTTATTAATTCTCTCTCCTATTAACTTATTTTTTTTGAAAAAACGCATTCTCTCTCCTAAAATTTAAAAAGTTCATTGGATTTGAATAAAAATTTTGTTCTTTATATTTAGAAATTAATGAAGACGTTCTTTATTTAAATGAAATGTGCTCTTTATATTTTAAAGAGCACTATTGGAGATGTTCTAATAGTTGATGGCTTTTTGGTGGTCCAACTGGTGTTTGGATGTCACTTCATTGTGAATTCTCGTTTAGTTGCCTGTCTCTTTTTAGTATGACAGTTTTAATCTGGGGGATTACTTGCATTTCAAAATCTCTGTTGGACATGGTTTGCCTCTTCATCAATCGTTTGTTCATATCAATGTGTACCTCAGCACCTTATCATTTTGCAGTATTATGAAAAAAAAGATCAGAATCGGTGGATGGTCATCTCTAATTAGTAGGTCAAAGCAAAAAAAAAAACTGATAGGAACTGGTGGATGGTCATCACTAATTAACAGAGTAAATGGTGGTTGTGATATGATTCTAATCTAATTATTTGTCTCATCTATTCCCTTTATTGCTGTTAGACGTGTGCATTTTGCACTGGTTAACCTTTACGATATTTGACTTTTTCTTTTTGAATTATTTGAGCAGTGGTTGATGTTGTAGATTTGTATGTATTTAACAGGATGGGAAGGGATATGGCGTATGATTGCTGGTCTTGTCACTTGCTTTGTGCTGCTTCATCTCCAGATTTATATAGAATTAATTTAGAGCAGGTACATTTTGTTCTGTAAGAGTATTATTTTCGATTTTTTGTGCTTTAGTTGCCTAAATGACGTTTGATGCAAGTCACCATCTGTTTCTAGTTTCCCAAAAAAAAAAAAAAAAAGGAAACTTTGAGGATGTTTAAAGCAATTGCCAATATAGATCTATGGAATTTTCTTTTTTATTTATATATTGAGAATTAGAGTTGCTAACTACTAGCTACTTCGGGTTTCAAAATTTATTGTTTTAAATGCTCCTCTATGTTAGCTAATTAAGATCATTGTCATTGAATAATTATTTATTTGTATTGCAACTGAACTATTCCAATCTCACACTCCAATGTAAAATTGTATTACAACTGAAATATTTGTATTATTGTTCTAAATGTACCACTAAATTTTCTTATTAAGGTCGTAGTTGTTGAATAATTGTTTATTTGTATTACAGCTGAACTCTTCCAATCTCATACTCCAAGATGTATAATTGCCTCACCATTTACCTTCAGCTGCTTGTAGAATCACTGTGAATATTACATTTCATTATATTGTTGAATCTATAATGAAATTTTGACTCTTTGATTCATATGGACATATTTTTTTGTCATCATAGATTGACAATTGTGCAGTTCAGAACTTGTAAAGTTGTTGGTCTTCCCTTAGAATGTCTTTGGTTTTTGTGGATTCCTTCACCTTTTCTATACTTAAACTTTTGTCTTGATCAGTTCTTATATGTCTCACTTTTTCTTTTCAGTATATATTCCTGGTCTTTCTTTATGTCAAGGCACTATTGATAGTGATTAACTTTGTATTTTTACAGAGTCAATTTCTCTCATCTCTGAATACACAGTCATTGGCACTAAATGTTGTTTCTCTAAGGTTGTTGCTGAATCTTGTTACTGTTGTTATTCCCTTTGTCTACTAGTGTAAGAAAAATTTATATGTTCAGTTAATTGCTACCAACTTTTCCTTATCTAAGAATTAGAGGCTTGTTTTACAATTTGTTAAGACTCCCTACGTAGCAACCAAAAAACCACACAAACAATCCACAAAACAGAGAGTAATATGCTCAAACAAGATTATATTACTAAAAAATGAAGAGTAACCAACAATACATAAAAATACCAACTGATAGATCCCAGCAATTCGAGGAGCTGGGGATCTCCCTTAATGACAATAGACTAAAACTTGATTCTACCCCAGAACAAACCCCCTCTATTTAAACTATCTTCTTAACCACCTATTCTCTATTAACAACTTTGATTCCCCACTCACGTGACTGTAACAGACTCTCCAAACAACCAGGCACCTCACCACCTACATTTACTGCCTCAAATGTCTCTTATGCCTTTTATAATGATAAACATGATTAATGGGAGGTCTATCAATGGCGCCCCCCCCCCCCCCCCCCCCCCCCCCCCCCCCCCCCCCCCCCCCCCCCCCGAAGAGCCACCTTGTCCTGAAGGTGGAATTGGGGAAATTGCAGGTTGATAACATCAAAAGCCTTCCACGATGCTTCAAAGGCAGCCAGGTCCTTCCATTTTATAAGGACTTCCCGAGAGCCATCTAACAAAGTGCGGACTACCAAAACTGATTCTGGGTGAAACAGGAGTTCCAGTTCGGTGAGGAAGGAGGGCAGGGGTTGGATGGGCACCGAGGGGTGGAGACTGCGTTTAAGCTGAGAAATGTGAAATACTGGATGAATTTTTGCCGTAGTGGGCAACTCTAACTTGTAAGCAACCTGCCCAATCTTCTCTAAGATGGTAAAAGGGCCATAAAACCATGGACTCAGTTTCTCATTCAGTTTCTTTGCTAAGGATTTGAAACGATACGGTTGGAGCTTCAAAAAGACTTGGTCCCCTGGTTGAAAACTAACATCCAGACGGTGCAGGTCAGTTGTGCCTTTCATCTGTTCTTGAGCAACAGCTAGGTTATGTTTCAATTCCTCCAGAATTGCATTTCGTGCAGCCATCTGCTGATTCACTTCTTCCACAACAGAAGGGTAATCAGTAAACTGGAAGAGAGTGGGTGGATCCCTCCCATATAGGGCTTTGAAGGGAGTCATTTTTATGGAATTGTGATGGGTTGTATTATACCAATATTCTGCCCAAGACAGCCATCTATGCCACTGTTTGGGCTGCGAACTACAGAAGCAGCGTAGGTAGGTTTCCAAGGAGCGGTTGACAACCTCCGTTTGACCATCAGTTTGAGGATGGTATGCTGAGCTAAACTTCAATGAAGTGCCAGCAGCCTTGAATAGTTCCTGCCAAAACTGACTGAGAAAGACCCTATCTCTGTCTGAGACTATGGACTTGGGAAATCCATGTAGTTTTACAATCACAGAAATAAAAAGTTCCGCCACATCTTTAGCACTGTAAGGATGGCACAGAGGAATGAAATGTCCGTATTTAGTAAGCCTATCCACTACAACCATTATAATATCCTGGGCTTTTGACTTTGCTAATCCGCCAATGAAATCCATACTGATATCTTCAAAAACCTGGGTCGGAATTGGTAAGGGCTGAAGTAAACCTACTGGTTTGAGAGCAGAGTACTTATTTAATTGGCAGACGGAGCACTGTTGGACATATCTCTGCACATCTTTCTTAATTCTAGCCCAAAACACTATATTCATCGGTTTCTTGTATGTTCTGAAAAAACCTGAATGGCCCCCTCCCGGGCTGTAATGAAATTCGGCTAATAGTTTAGGAATGAATTTCAAATTTGCAGGTAATACCAATCTGTTTTTGTAGACGAGGCAGCCACGGCGAAAACCATAATGGGGATGGCTGGAAGGGTCGAAAAGAAGGTCTTGTATGATTGCTTGGAGCTTGGGGTTTTGTTGTGCCTCGGCCGCTAACTCATCAAATTCAGAAAATTGGACCACCGAAATGGCCTCCAATTCAGCTCTCTCTCCCCGTCTGGATAATGCATTAGCTACCTGGTTTGAACTTCTCGGTTGATAATGGATTTCGAAAAAGAAGCCGAGGAGCTTAGAAATCCACTTTTGTTGTTCGGGTGTCTTAGCACGTTGATCTGTCAAGAATTGCAGGCTGCGCTAGTTTGATTTAATGATAAATTTGTGGCCACTAAGGTAGTGGCTCCGCTTGTGGACAGCAAACACAATGGCCATCAGCTCCCTTTCGTATGCAGATTTCTGTCGGGATTGGTGGGAGAAGGCTTGGCTGATGAATGCTATGGGACACTGATTCTGGACCAGGACAGCACTGATCCCCTGTCCCGATGCGTCTGTGTGAACTTCAAAAGGGAGAGTGAAATCAGGGACTGCCAGAACAGGCACCTTAGTCATTACCGCTTTAAGTGTGTCAAAAGCCTGCTGTGCTTGGTCATTCCAGGCAAAAGAATCTTTTCGCAGTAACTGTGTTAAGGGCTGCACGATTAAACCATAATTCTGCACAAAGCGGTGGTAGTAACCTGTTAAGCCCAAAAAACCCCGTAATTCTTTGATTGTGCATAGGGCGGGCCAAGAAAGCATAGCATCAATCTTTTGTGGGTCAGCCTCGACCCCTGTTGTTGAGATTAAATGACCCAAGTACTCCAATCTATGACGGGCAAAAAGACACTTGTAATTGACAACCAATTCATGCTTAGTGAGAATCTGAAAGGTGTGTCGCATGTGCAGCAGATGGGTCTTCAAATCAGGGCTGTAAATCAGAATGTCGTCAAAAAATACAAGTATAAACTTCCACAAGACTGATTTAAAAATAGTGTTCATCAAAGCTTGAAAAGTGGACGGGGCATTAGTCAACCCGAAGGGCATGACCAAGAACTCATAGTGCCCCTCGTGGGTTCTAAATGCTGTTTTGGGAATATCTGCTTCTTTAATCCGAATCTGGTGGTAACTGGATTTGAGGTCTAGTTTTGTAAAAATGGCGGCCCCTGATAGTTCGTCCAACAGTTCATCAATTGAGGGGATTGGAAATTTGTCTGGAATAGTGATGTTATTAAGTGCCTGGTAATTGACACAAAACCGCCAACTACCATCCTTCTTTTTTACTAACAGAACCGGACTAGCAAAAGGACTTGTGTTAGGTTGTATAATTCCTGCCATTAGCATCTCACCTACCAGCCGTTCGATTTCATTTTTCTGGGAAAAAGAGTATTTGTACAGGCGAATGTTGGGAGGTTTGGTATTGGTTTCTAAGACTATGGCGTGGTCCGTGGGTCTCTTGGGTGGGAGTGTAGTCGGCTGTTCGAACAAATGGCTGAACCCATCAACAACTGTTGTGGCTGCTGGGTCCATGGGTTCCTCTGTGTCCTCTTCCTTAACACCAATGGAGCATAACTCGACCACATATCCCGTATCCTCTCTCTGCAAGGATTTCAGCATTGCCCTTAATGATACCACTGTCTTGACTAACGACGGATCCCCTTGCAGAACCACCCGCTTCCCGTCACTGAAAAATTCCATAGTCAGATTTCTCCAGTTTGCACAGAGATCTCCCAATGTACTCAACCAAGAAATGCCCAGCACTACATCTGTTCCCCCTAACTCAAATGGAAAAAGTCCTGACACAACTCAATCCCTGGCATTTGCAATGGCTCACCTCTGCAAATTCCCTCACCTCTAACTGTCACTCCGTTTCCCACCATCACCCCAAAAGATTTACCTTTCTCCACTGGTAGCTCTAACTTTCGCACCATTTCATGCGAAATGAAGTTGTGGAAAGCCCCACTGTCAACCAAAATAATCACCTCTGACTCTTCAATCACCCCTTCGTCTGATACTTTCGAGGTGGGTTCCGAACTGCCGTCATCGTTTTCTGCCCCGTCGTCATCGGTCACTAGCAGTATCTGGATCGATTTGCTCCTACAACAGTGATTTGGTCCATATTTCTCAGCACAACGGAAACAGAGACCCTTTTCTCTTTTTTGTTGTAGCTTGGCGTCGGTCAGTCGCTGGAAACTATCCTTGCGGAAGTTCTGCGTCGTCGCGTCGCTGCTTAATCGATTTCTGTCGTGAAATCGATTTGGGGAAAATTGGGGATTTAGATCTGCATTTCGCGATGGGTTAGTCCACCAATTTGGGCGATTGGTTTCCGGGTTTGGGCTTGGTGTGACCCGAGTGTAAGGGTCTATTTTGATTCCTTGGGCTTTAGTTAATCTGGCCCGACTTTTGTCTAAAACCCAGTTGCGTTCCTCCACACAGTGGGCCTGATCCATCAAGGCAAACAGGGAAGTGGGCTGTGTTAGGCGAGTCTCAGCTCTTATTTCCTCTTTTAACCCATTTGTAAAAACCCCCATCAAAATGTCTTCTCCAACCTCATGTAAGGGTGCTGCGTGAGCTTCAAAATTTTCCCTGTACTCCGTCACTGTACCCATCTGCTTTAGAGCTACCAAGGCTTCATAGGCTGATCCCTTAAATGATGGTCTGAACCTCTCCACCACTGTAGTCTTAAAGTCTGTCCAAGACCTGATGGGAGCTCTAGACTCTACCCACTGATACCAGTTCAGGGCACGACCTTCCATACACATGGCGGCTGCCGCCACCTTTTCTTCCTCCTCATACTGATTTACCGAAAAATATCGGTCAGCTCTAAATTTCCATCCATAAGGATCTTCCCCGTTGAATATGGGTAGTTCCAACTTCTTCACCTTTGAGTTTTCTCCCTTCTTGTTCCTATCCACTCTCCTACTGTCACTACTGTTGGAAGCTTCACCGTTAGATTCTTTCCCCTTGTCCTGGCTCAGATTTGCATCATTCTCCTCCTTAAACTTCATCTACTCACGAAGCTCTAGTAAGTACGCCTTAATACTCCCTAGTTCTTCCTTAACAATTCCCATTTCCTTCTCAACGTTCCCCATTTCCTTTTCCAAACCTTCCACTCTGTTTTCCATCTTCGATTTAACCATAACCCAACGTGGCTTTGATACCAATTTGTTAAGACTCCCTGCGCTAGCAACCAGCAAACACACAAACAATCCACAAAACAGAGAGTAATATGCTCAAACAAGATTATATTACTAAAAAATGAAGAGTAACCAACAATACATAAAAATACCAACTAATAGATCCCAGCAAGTCGAGGAGCTGGGGACCTCCCTTAATGACAATAGACTAAAACTTGACACTACCCCAGAACAAACCCCCTCTATTTAAACTATCTTCTTAACCACCTATTCTCTACTAACAACTTTGATTCCCCACTCACGTGACTGTAACAGACTCTCCAAACAACCAGGCACCTCACCACCTGCATTTACTGCCTCAAATGTCTCTTATGCCCTTTATAATGATAAACATGATTAATGGGAGGTCTATCACAATTTCAGCAAACTTCATGGGCTAGTTGCTTGTGGTGGGGAAGATGGTGCCGTGGAATGTTTTGACATGAGAATGAGATCCTCAGTTGGTAGAATTAATGCTATTGCACCTGCTGGTGATATTGACCAGGTTTTAGAGTTTTATCAATAAATTGCAATAGGGGTTGCAGAGGTTTCTCTGATCACTAGTGTACTTGATGGAAGTAAATTTTCTTTAGTTCGTATCCTTGGCTCCAATATGTTACATGGTTTTGATGAAGGTATTTGCTCCCAATGTGCATTGTTCAGAGATGCATTTTCCATGTGTCATTGTTCATCACATATGAAAGTCTTTAGGGGTCAAATGTGGTCACTGTTTCACCCTACTTTAGGCTAAAAGATGTTCTGAAATATATCATAACAAATTTTTTCTTGTTATGGTCTACAGAGATGGGAAGGAAAGAAAGTATTGTACACATGAGCAAGAATGATTGCATATCTATCCTATTTGTTTCACCTGAAATTGTTATCTTACTATATTTGCCATCTTTGTTGGAGATTACAGCATTGGAGTTTGACACAAATGGGGGTTTCCAAATGGGAGTTGGAAGTAGCATGGGGAAGGTACTAACTACAAATAGACTGATAGACCACCTATCAAGAAGGTTTACCAGCACAGAGGGCACAAGGGTAAAAAGCCACTAACAGAATTGGTTGGAATTGGAGAAGCATGCATTAGTGGAGAGAGGCCAACAGAATAAAATTGAAGAAACATACTTGAGTGGAGAGAAGCTGGAGGCAGGTGACGTGTGAACCAATTAGTTAGAAGGGAATAAAAGTTGTTAGCTGATTCATGTATAAAAGGGGGAGCCTTTTGGTTAAAAAGTAGATAATTGTAAAGTGTGAATCAGGGAGGTCCCCAGCTCCTCGAACTGTTGGGATTTATCTACTGTTATTTTTCTTTCATTTTAGTCCTGGAAAATTGCTCTGTTTTTACCAATTTCAGTTCTTAATATCAATCCAATTCTATCCATCCAAATCTGTCTTGCGAAAACACTAGAGAACTGGTGCATTATCTGATTTTGTGGTTGCTTCTTGTTCGTTAATCCTAGGGTTTTATCATAGACATAATACTTTTAGATGTTCAGAATCGTATCTTATGCTTAATATTATCTACTTAAGTTTTGTGCTTTGAAAAAGTCAGTTCATGGACTCTGAAAGGAGTTATTTGTGGTGACGCTTATTATATTTACCCCAACATAGGGTTATACCGTGTAACGCCCCACTTGAGATACGTAGCTAACGTTTCTTCTTTTGCTCTTATTTGAGTTGGTTTATTAGTATTATTGTTTGGTTGACCTTTGATTGAGTGGTGTGTTGAATACTTGCCTTGAAATTAGTTGAAATAGAAGAAGTTCAGTGTTCCAAGCTTCGCCGGGGTGAAGAAGAATCTTCGCCGCGGCGAAGAAGTGTTGAAGCCACGGGAAGCTGCTGGACAGTTTCGCCGCGGCGACAGAAGCTTTCTCGCCGCGGCGACGTGCCAACCAAAATATTTGTTAAGTTTTAGATATTTTCTTCCCTAAGGGCAATTTGACCATTCTACCCCTAATTAGTAGGAAAAGTGGGGAGTAAAATATAAGGAATTTTCATGGAGAATATGTTGATATGGGGGTGTGGTTGTAATGAATCAAAAGATATAGATGGAATTCCCAAGGAAGAGTAAGGGCAAAATGGGAATGCTTGTGCATAAATTTCATTAAAAGGAATTAAGTCATTACAAACCCTTCATTCTTCTTCTCCATCGCCACTCTCCTTTCTTACTTCCTCTCAAATTCTTTTTCTTTTGTTCAAGGATTTTTAGAGGGCTTTTGGAGTGATTTGGGGTAGAAAATCAATCTAAGGCATCCTAAGGTAAAGATTCTTGCTTTGGAGGTAAAGTTTTGTGAGAGTTTGAGTATATTGAATATTGGGGGTTTTTGTTCATTTGTTCAAAGAGTAGAGAAAAAGTCAAGCAAACCAAGAGAAAGAAAGAGCTGGTGAAATCTCTCCATAACAAGGTAAGTAAATCCCAACCCAAGTTGAGATTTGAGAATTTTCTTAATTAGGGTTTTTAATAGCAATTATGTATGTATGTTATATACATGTTATATGCCATGTTATTGAGTCTTAAATGGAGATTATTATTGCTTTGTGATTGTTCATACATTTCAAGTATAAGAAGTGAGAAAGTGGGTTGGAAAGGTAGTTTGAGATGGAATTGAAGGATATTGAGAAATCCTTTTTGGAAGTGTCTTTCTTTGGCAGGAATTATGGCTATGTGAGGGAGTTTCTCCCCATTTTGGATGGTTAGAGAAAGACATAGGACATTATTGTATAGTAGAGTTTTATTATGCATTTGAGTTGTTTGATGAAATGCCTAATAGAGGTTTGAGTATGAGAAGTGAACCTTAATTCTTGCAACATTGCATGTTGGCATTTCATAAGTGCATTAGTGAGATGAACCATCCATGGCATTAATTGTGCATTGAGAAGTGACCTAAGAAAGAGTAGGAAACTTGTGTATGCACTTGCTCTATGAGTAGAGAACTTTGGATCAACTACTCTAAGGTAGAGAGAATGAGAGTGTAGAATAGAGTGAATGAGAAGAGTATTAAAATGGGTTGATGCTTTGTTCATCACCCGCGTTATGAGAACTGGTTGATGCTTTGTATCATCATCCGAATAGTTTTAGAAATGGGTTGATGCTTGGTGATCATCACCCGATAGTTATTAGAATGGGTGGATGCTTTGTGATCATCACCCAGTTAGTTATTAGAAAGGGGTTGATGCTTTGTGATCATCACCCGATATTTATTAGAAATGGGTGATGCTTTGTGATCATCACCCGACAGTGATTGGGAACGGTTAATGCTTTGTGATCGTCCACTCGAAAGTCATTAGGAACGGGTAGGTGTTTTGTGGTCTCCACCCATAGTTACGAAAACCGAGTAGGTGCTTCGTGATCCCCATTCAGTAGTCACTAAGAACGAGTTGGTGCTATGTGAACTTCACCCACAGTCATGAAGAGTGAGATGGTGCTGTGTGAACACCACCCGGTCGTACCTCCAGTAAGATGAGGCCATGATGTTTAGTAAGAACAGAAACAGAATAGTGTAAGAAAGAATTAAGAGAAATACATACGGGGATAAACAGATAGAGGGTTTACTTACTGAGCATTATTTTGTGCTCACCCCGTTATTTTCCTTTGTGGATGCAGGATCTAGGTGATGATGCAGTCGGAGGGGCGTCGGCAAGCGAGGAGCAATAGCTACACTGTTTCCCCTGTTTTTGTCTTCTAAATGGCTTTTTGTAAATGATGCTCTTTGTGTATAAAAGACTTATTACACATAATAAAAAGAAAAGTTTTGGGCCCATTTTCTATTGTTATTATGCATGCATTGTACTAGTTTACAATAGTTGTTACATACCGCTATATGTACGTTCAATATAAGCCATTGCTTGGAGAGGTATAAAGGAGGGTTTGACAATTAAAGCATAAAATATGCCAAATGAATTAATGATAGCCTACTCCTCTTTCAAGAGACAAGACTGAAATAATATATAAAAAAATAAGTCCAAAATAAAATTAGCGGGCTTTGAAAGGTGTGATAAACCATAAACCTCGGTGGAAATAAGGCAACAAGGAGAAATACAATGTTAATGATTTCAAGAACTAATAATTTAAAATTGTATCAAATTTTTAGATTGGAGATTTTACCGAGGTTAGTTCCTTAAGTGTTATTTCAGGTTTAACAAAGGATTATAAGACTCAGATTGTTTGAGACATGTGACTCAAGTTGAATGAGTATGGATGATGGCATAGCAACGTCTGAATGACGTCTGAATCAAGGAAGATGGGCCATGGATTGGTGGTAATAAGATTAATCTATCTGATCAGACTGATTTAAGGTAACTTCCAAGATAAGGATGTAGAATTTATGTGTAATCAAGGGAATTTGTGGCTAACGTTTTGGTTAGGATTTCAAAAGAAGTTTTATGTTGATAAAAAGTGGCTGTTATGAATATTGTCAGTAGCAGTTAGTTCAAATTTTGAATGGATAATAATATGAGCAATAAACTAAGGGCTCTGCGCTTTAAGAAGAAAAATATTAAGAAAAAACGTAAAATGAAGAAATAAGCTGCCAAGACTTTAATAATTCTAAAACTATGACAAAATTTTCGTTGGTCAACTCTAATAACTTTGAGGTGTATTGGCCTGTTTATCAGCTTAGATCTTATTCTGGTATAACTAGATGAAAAAAAAATTGTGATAAGAAGTAAAAGATGTATATTAATTAAAAAGAAAAAATTACCAGTGTGGACTAGGAGTTTACCAACAAGGTAAACTCATCACTTGCAGTGGGTACCAGAATCTATACAAGAACAGTCAGGAATCTTGAGCTTTGAACTTTCGAGAAGATGATCGGGGAAGTAACTTTTGGAGGATTCCCGTCCAGGAATTTAATTGCATTAATTTGATTATTTTTGTTACATTGTGTAATTTCCATATTTAGATGTTAGGTTTCTCTGCATCCTTTTGCTATAATGATTGAGTGTGGTTTTAATATTGTCTTTGTAATGCAGGTGTTGCTTTATGATTTGGGATCCTCATATCCTATACGAATCAAGGATCACATGTGAGACTTGCTTTTCATGTGTTATCTTTTATTGCATGCTTGGACTCAATTAGTCTGTTTACTGAAAATTCTGCCACTACTATGCAGGTATGGGAGTCCAATATTGGATATTAAGTGGCATCATAGTCTTAACACGGAGCGACCAAAGTTAATTACAACAGACAATCATGTTGTCAGAATATGGGACCTGAGACAGTAAGATGTTTTTATTTTTATATTTGGTTTCAACTTATATTGTTTGGAACGCTTGTATTCATGGATTAATAAACTTAAGTGAACATCTCTATGTTTCTTGTTTTTGTTTCCTGTGAAAGATGATGAAAATTATTTACACTCGTGTCATAGTTGAGTACTAACTGGTGGAGGAGGCAAGCTGCAGAGAATTTCAACTTGTAAAGTATATCATCGTAGTTATTTAATTGTCTCTTCGGTTTGTATGATTAATGTTAGATCTGCAAATGATATAATCTTTCTGTATTCTATTTAAATTAGGTAATCATTGTTGCGGTTAGTATGTATTCATTGAACCATTGATGTAAAAAAAGTGGTTCTCATATAATGCAGATTTCATATGTATTGTCCAATTGTCCTAGTAATATTTTGAGGTTGTTTTCAAAAGTCTTAGTGATGTCAATAAAAGAAACCCACCCAAGACTAGTTGTTTATTTTAGGAACTATCTATTTTAGATATTTAACAATATTACTTTTTTGAATCGGATTATTATTATTTTGGGTTAGATTTGGTTTGTTGTTTGAACTGAATCATGTTTCCTTTCTTTTTAGTACTATAGATGGGCCTCATAAGCTTTTATTTTTGTAAAACACTGTTTGAATCTGATGGACACAAAATAGCAAGCTGGTACTCACGCAAGACAAACAACAGAAAACAGGGGCAAAAGGGGTAAATTACCCAAGGACAGATGTCTAGATTAGTTGTTAGAATCAGAATATCAGAATAAAAGGGCAATGGAACCAGAGAGAGAGGATATCAATTGTTGTGTGCATGAATTGAGTGTGGGAGGTGCTGGCCCTCGAAGACCAGTTGGTGTTACTGTTTTATTGTTTTATTCATATTCATACAGACTCATTGTTACTCTTAAACCCTCTATTACGATTAATATACCATTTCCATTATTTTGAGCGGTTGTGTTGGATTGATGCTGATATATTGTTGAATGTTACATCTGGATAGTTCTTATTCTTGTATTTGAGCTATGTGTTGCGTGTGAGTTGTGAAAAGGGTCTGGTAAAGTGTTGGGTTCAATCAAACTGGTATCAGAGCTAACGATGGTGGGTTATGGTTGGTACTTAAATGGAGAACAGGATTGAATGTGTAAAGAAAGACTTAACAGTAGTTCAGAGGGATGTAGCCAAGGTGACGGAAACAGTGAATTCGATGAGAGAGATTCTGATGGACATGCAAAATTGGATGAGAAGAAAAGATGAAGAAGAGGAAGAACGACGAAGAAATGCGTCTGAAGAAATCAACCCAGACAGGGGAGGACGTACTGAACAAGAACATTTCGAAGGACAGGGAGGCTCCGGTGAGAATCATAGGGGCCAAGGATCGAACCAAGGCAGGGAAGGGTGGAACCGCTGAGACTAGGGTGGCCAGAAACTGGAACTTCCTCTCTTTTTCGGTGAGGATCCTTACGGGTGGATCTTCCGGGTGGAGCGCTATTTCGCGATCAACCAGATCCACGACGAGCATAGGGTTTTGTCGACGGCCCTTTGCATGGAAGGAGAAGCACTCCATTGGTACCAGTGAACGGAATCACGGACGACGGTGATGACTTGGCCAGCTTTTAAGGTGGTGTTGTTGCAGCAGTTTAGTGGAACGCAGGAGGTCAGTCCACTGGAGATGTTGATGTCATTGCGTCAGGGGGGTACCGTGATGGACTTTCGTCGGAGATTCGAAGAGGTGGCGGCGTTGACTCAGGGTGAGAAGGAAGAGGTCCTAATGGCGGCTTTCCTCAACGGGTTGAAACCAGAGATTTGGGGCCGAGATTAAGTTACAGCAACCGGGTCTCCTAACCCGACCCGATTCCCTGACTTGGCCCAACGTGTTAAAGAAAGGAATTGGGCCTTAGAAGAAGCCCAAGCAAGCCTGGCCCAAACTGGAAGATATAACCACTTTACTTATGAACCCAAACCCAACTCTACCATACCCAAGCCCAACTCCAATTCACTTAAAATGGATGAAAAATCCTCCAGTTCAAACACCATTCAACCTTCACCCAAATCTGTCAACCAAACTCACGCCTTCTCCCCAACTACAACCCTCAACCGAAGATTTCCATCTGAGACTTACTGCAGCTCAGGGTCAACAACTTCAAACAACAGCAGGACCAATGCATTCTGACGAGATTTTTCATTCAAAAAGTTGACTGAAGCCGAGATACAGAGGAATGGAGAGCGTGGCTTGTGCTACCGATGTGATGCAAGGTATTCCCCAGGGCATAAATGTGGAGAGAAGCAATTCCAGGTTTTACTAGTGGATGAGGAGGAAAATGGGGAGGAAGAGATAGCTAATGAAGAAGAAATGGTAGAAGAAGAAGTTCCTAAGGAAGCTGAGTTATCAATCAGTTTAGTGGTTGGAATTAATGGGCCTAAAACGATGAAGTTGAGTGGAGAAATTAGAGGTAAGGAGGTTATAATTTTAATTGATAGCGGGGCATCGCATAACTTCATAAATAGGGGCTTGGTGGAGGAGCTTCAGATTCTGGTAACAGCAACTAAAACATTCGGAGTGAGGGTTGGTGATGGCTATAACGTTCGGTGCCAAGGAGAGTGTAAGAGGGTGTGTTTGAGCTTGCAGGATGTTGACATAATACATAATTTTTTCCCATTTGAGATAAGCAGTGTCGAAGTCATTTTGGGTATAGCTTGGCTGGAAACATTGGGTGAAACAACCACAGATTGGAAGAAGCTGGTAATGAAGTTTCATTGTTCGGGCACCACGGTCACACTTAAGGGAGATCCAGCTTTGTGCAGAACTATGGTGTCACTTAAGGGATGCTGAAAACATTATAGACCGAAGGATCAGGATACTACATTGAGTTCAGGCATATGCAGATACAGTCAACACAAGAACCAGGCCATTTGGAGTTGATTAAGAGTTTATTATAGCAGCATCAAGAATTGTTTGAACCTCCACCTGGGCTGCCACCGATCAGGATACATGACCATGCCATCAGACTGACAGAGGGGAGCCAACCTCCTAATATCAGGCCCTACAGGTACCCCTACTATTTAAAGAATGAGATTGAGAGTATTGTCCGAGACATGTTGGTATTCGGAATTATAAAGCCAAGCAAAAGTCCGTTCTCGAGTCCTGTGTTACTGGTGAAGAAAAAGGATGGTGGCTGGCGATTTTGTGTGGACTACAGGGCCTTGAACAAGATTACAATGCTCGACAAATTTCCAATACCGACGGTTGACGAGTTATTCGATGAGTTGGGAGGAGCTTCGGTGTTTACTAAATTGGATCTTAAATCGGGTTACCATCAGATTCGGGTCAAAGAAGAAGACACCAACAAGACCGCTTTCCGCACCCATGAGGGCCATTACGAGTTTCTGGTAATGCCCTTCGGATTATCCAATACCCCTTCTACCTTTCAAGCTCTCATGAATGATATTTTCAAACCGTATCTGCGGCGATTCCTATTGGTTTTCTTTGACGACATCTTGGTTTATAGTCCTAATATCACAGCCCACGAAGGTCACTTGAGTCTCACTTTTCAAACCTTAAAACAACATCAGTTGGTAGTAAATCGAAAGAAGTGCACATTCGCCCAATCACGGTTGGAATATTTGGGCCACATAATTTCCACAGAGGGAGTGGCGGTTGACCTAGCAAAGGTTGAATGTATTTTGGCATGGCCGACACCTAAGGACATTAAAGCCTTAAGGGGATTTCTCAGATTGACTAGGTATTACCAGAAGTTTGTTAAAGGATACGGCACACTAGCAAAACCTCTCACCGTGTTACTTTGCAAAAATTCCTTCTGTTGGATCGAATCCTTACAGACTGCTTTTAATGATTTAAAAAGGGTAATGACTACGGTACCGGTTCTTGCTATGCCTGATTTTACTAAAACTTTTGTTGTTGAAACAGATGCTTCAGGGTTAGGTTTGGGAGCAGTTCTGATGCAAGACGGCCGACTACTAGCCTTCATCAGCCAAGGCCTATCACTAAGGTCCCAAGCCAAGTTCGTTTATGAGCAGGAACTTATGGCAATTGTTTTCGCAGTCCAGAAGTGGAAGCACTACCTTTTGGGTAGACATTTCATCATCCGAACGGACCAGCGCAGCCTCCGTTACTTAAATGACCAAAGACTACACGAGGAAGAGCAACAGAAATGGATAATCAAACTATTGGGGCTGGACTATGAGATACAATATAAACCGGGGTTAGAAAATAGAGCCGCAGATGCCTTATCTAGACGAACTGATGGGGTGGAATGCAATTCTCTCTCTACTTGTTACTTTGGTAGTCGTAAGGAATGGGAAGAGACTATTCAGCAAGATCCTAAGCTGAACAACATCTGCCGAGATTTGATTACGGATCCCAAAAGCCATCCACATTTTCACTTAGTGGGACACCAGCTTTTCTATGATGACCGACTAGTATTACCTCGCGCCAGTCCGCAAGTTCAACTCCTCCTTCAGGAATTTCACTCATTGTAACGCCCCACTTGAGGTACGTAGTTATTGTTTCTTCTTTTGCTCTTATTTGAGTTGGTTTCTTGGTATTATTGTTTGATTGACCTTTGATTGAGTGTTGTGTTGAATACTTGCCCTGAAATTGGTTGAAAATAGAAGAAGTTCAGTGTGCCAAGATTCGCCGGGGCGAAGAAGAATCTTCGCCGCGGCGAAGAGGTGTTGAAGCCACGGGGAAACATTCTGGACAGTTTCGCTGCGGCGACAGAAGCTTCCTCGCTGCGGCGACAGTCCGACCAAAATTTTTGTTAAGTTTTAGATATTTTCTTCCCTAAGGGCAATTTGACCATTCTACCCCTAATTAGTAGGAAAAGTGGGGAGTTAAATGTAAGGATTTTTCATGGAGAATATGTTGCTATGGGGGTGTGTTTGTAATGAATCAAAGGATATAGATAGAATTCCTAAAGAAGAGTAAGGGCAAAATGGGAATGCTTGTGTATAAATTTCATTAAAAGGAATTAAGACATTGCAAACACCTCATTCGTTTCTCCAACGCCACTCTCCTCTCGTGCTTCCTCAATTTCTCTTTCTTTTGATCAAGGGTTTTAAAGGGTTTGGTGTGATTGGGGGGAGAAATCAAACCTAAGGCATCTAAGGTAAGGATTCTTGCTTTGGTTGTGAAGCTTTGTGAGTTTTAGTATATTGAATATTGAGGGTTTTTGTTCTTTTGTTTGAGAGTAGAGAAAAAGTCAAGCAAACCAAGGGAAAGGAAGAGTTAGTGAAATCTCCATAACAAGGGTAAAACCCAACCAAGTTGAGTTTGGGAATTTCTTGATTAGGGTTTTGATAGCACTTATGTAGTGTGTTATATACATGTTATATGCCATGTATTGAGGCTTAATAGAGATTTTAGTGCTTTTTGATTGTTTATACCTTTCAAATATAAGAAATGAGTTGTGGGTTGGAAAGGTAGTTTGAGATGGAATGAAGGGGTATTGTGGAACCTTTTGGAAGTGTCTTTCTTTGGCAGGTTTTGTGGCTTGTAAGGGGGTTTTGCCCACTTTGGATGGTTAGAGAAAGATTTAGAATCATTGCTATAATAGAGTTTTATGATGCACTTGAGTTGTTTGATGAAATGCTAGTAGAGGTTTGAGTATGAGTAGTGAACCTAATTCTTGCAACATTGCATGTTGGTATTTCATAAGTGCAATATGGAGATGAACATCCATATGCATTATTATGCATTGAGAAGTGGACCTAAGAAAGAGTAGGAAACTTTGTGTATGCACTACTCTATGGTAGAGAAATTGGTGGATGCAACACTCTAAGGGTAGAGGAATGATAATGCTGAATAGAGTGAATGAGAAGAGTAGTAGAGATGGGTTGATGCTTTGTGATCATCACCCGATAGTTATGAGAATCGGTTGATGCTTTGTGATCACCACGAAAAGCTATTAGAAATGGGTTGATGCTTTGTGATCATCACCGATAAGTATTAGAAACGGATGGATGCTTTGTGACCACCACCGGGTAGTTTTTAGAGCAGGGGTTGATGCTTTGTGATCATCATCCGACATTATAGAAGTGGGTTGATGGTTTGTGATCATCACGACAGTGATTAGAGAGGGTTAATGCTTGGTGATCGTTACCAAAAGTCATGAGAAATGGGTAGGTGCTAGGTGGTCTCCACCGTAGTTACGAAAACCGAGTAGGTGCTTCGTGATCCCCACTCGGTAGTCGCTAAGACGGGTTGGTACTGTGTGAATTCCACCCGATAGTCATGGAGAGTGGAGGGTCTGTGTGAACGCCATCCGACCGTACCTCCGGTAGATGAGGCCATGACGTTTAGTAGAAACAGAAATAGAACAGAATAGTTAAGGAAAGAATTAGAGGAATACATCAGGGGACAGACAGTAGAGGGTTTTACTTACTGAGCATTATTTTGTGTCACCCCGTTATTTTTTCCTTTGTGCATGTAGGATCTAGGTGTTGATGCGTCGGAGGCGCGGGCAAGCGAGGAGCATAGCTACACTGTTTCCCCTGTTTTGTTGTGTAAATGATTTTTGAAACATACTCTGTGTATAAAGACATATGACATATAATGAAAGAAAGATTTTGGACCCAACTTTTTCTATTGTTATTATGCATGCATTGTATTGCTTACAGCAGGTTACACTCACCTCCATGGGTGGACATTCGGGATTTTCAAGACCTATAAGCGGTTTGTCTCAGGTTGTCTATTGGGAAGGGATGAAGAGTGACATTATGACGTTTGTTTGCAACTGTGTTACATGCAACAGAGTAAATATGACAACCTCCAACTCGTCGGACTGTTGCAACCACTACCGATACAACCCAAGTTGGGAGGACCTTTCTATGGATTTCATCGTAGGCCTACCAAAAGCTCAACGGGTAGATACATACTAGTGGTGGTTGATCGGTTTAACCAAGTATAGCCACTTCATACCTCTCAACATCCTACATGACGCACAACAGGTAGCTGACCTCTTCATCCAGAACATTGTTAAACTACATGAGTTCCACGAACAAGGTCTTGGATTGAGATAGACTCTTCATGAGCATTTTTTGAGGAGACATGTTTAAACAATCAAGTACGAAGCTACACATGAGCACAGCGGATCACCTTCAGTCAGATGGCTAAACAGAAGTGGTTAACCGTTGTGTTGAGACCTATCTCTGTTGCCTTGCGGGACAACAACCAAAACAGTGGCCTAAGTGGTTAAATTGGGCAGAATACTGGTTTAATACATCCTCAATCGGTCCCAGGTATGTCTCCTTTTCAAGCACTGTACGGCAGAGATTCACCAGTCCTCCTAGATATTCCAACATGCATCCGTGGTGGCCGTGGTAGTTGACGAGCAAATGACGAAAGGAATCACATTCTGGATGAATTAAAACTCAATTTATCCCAAGCTCAAGGCGCGATGAAGGCCTATGCGGATGGTAAGAGAAGAGACGTTCAATTCCAACCAGGTGATTTCGTTTACTTAAGACTTCAACCTTATCGTATTAAAACACTGGCTCGAAGGCCCAATGAAAAACTCAGCCCAATTTATGGACCGTATGAATTGACCGAAAAGGTTGATCCTGTGGCATACCGTTGCAACTTCCCCACAAGCCTGCATCAACAACGTGTTCACGCTCCCAATGAAAAAGGTTACCTCTCAGCCACCACCTCACTTCCACTCCCTCCCATTCTTGAGGAGATATGGTACTCCAAGTCGAGGCCTAGCAAGTTTACGAAAGCAAGGTTGTTTAAATGGGAACTATGAGTTTCTGATCAAGTGGAAGGGGTCTACCGACTTGTGAAACACTGGGAGCCTATACAACCATCTGCCACCAATTCCTTCTTTCCATCTTGAGGACAAGGTGACACTCCTTGGGGAGGGTAATGATGGACCCAAAATAGTAGTTGGTACTCCCAACAGCATCGCACAGGAAACAGGGGCAAAAGGGGTAAATACCCAAGGACAGGTTGGATTAGTTGTTAGAGTTGTTAGAATCAGAAAGTCATAATAAAAGGGCAGTGGTACCAGAGAGAGAGGATATCAATTGTTGTGTGCATGAATTGAGTGTGGGAGGTGGGCCCTCGAAGACCAGCTGGTGTTACTGTTTTATTGTTTTATTCATATTATACAAACTCATTGTTACTCTAAACACTCTATTATGATTAATATCCATTCCATTATTTTGAGCTGTTGTGTTGGATTGATGCTGATATATTGTTGAATGTTACATCTGGATAGTTTATTCTTTATTTGAGGTGTTGTTGCGTGTGCGTTGTGAAAAGGGTGGTAAAGTGCTGGTTCCATCAGAATCCACATTATAGAACGTCTAGATTGCTTTCTCTCTTTTTTTTCTTTTCCAGTCTCATCTAATTTTTTTCCACTTCATATTTTTTCTCTCTTCATGCACATCTATTGGTATTAGAGATTTGTCTTGTCCTAAATTAATTCGACTTATAATGTTCATGAACATACTTTACTTGGCCAAACATTTTTTAATTGCCATTGTGGTGAGTAGTGACCAGAGTATAGAAAAATGAGAAATTTAGATGGCACCACCCCGAACTATGTAGATCAATGGCTTTTGGTCAGGCATACTGTTGATCTTGATACTGGCAGCTGTGGACCAAGATTATTGACTTGGACAAGATATAAGAATTTCGGCAAATAGCAAGGTTTTAAATTCAACTATAATTATGGTTAAGAGTGATAGATCTTTAATTCTTTATTTTAATTGTTTATATTTTTTTAAGATACAAGGTATCCTTGAAAAGAAAACAAGGAAATTTCACAGCAAAACAAAATTTCTTGAAAAATCCCCGCCTCAATAGAAGAAAAAAAAAAAAAAAAAAAAAAAAAAAAATCTAAAAAAAAAGAGATGGTGCTAAATTTGTTGTCAAAAAGGAAATGATAGATGACAAGGATTTCTAGAAGAAGCAATTTATAGTAATTAACCTAGAATGTGCGATGACAGAATAGGGGTATTTTCTGTGCAAATGAAGTGGAGACAATGTATTCTTCAGTAATTTCAGGGATTTTACGAGGAACATATACATGCAAGATCATGTAAATGTGTGATTATATTATAGATATGCATATTTTCTCTCTCTAATTTTTCCTAGTATTAGTATCTATTCTTGTACCTTATTTGATCTTGCATCATTGTCAGGGAGAAGGCAGGACCCCGATTGAACCATCAGGTGGAAAGATAAATGATGTATGTTTGTTCAAAGACAGCGGGTTGGTGTTGCTGGCTTTAGATAGCAGCCAGATACCAGCTTACTTCATACCTGATTTGGGACCTAGTCCCAAATGGTTTGCTCCAATGGAAAACATGACGGTGTGTTATAAATCTTAGTTTATTTGCTTCTTACCTTGCCTTTTGTTCATTTCATTTGGAGTGCTGATTTTTTCTTTTTTGGGTCTATTATACAGGAAGAGGTAGAGGAAGCTGGACAAACAACCATATATGATAACTACAAATTTTTGACTAGAGAAGATCTTGAAAAGTTGAATTTGACCAGTCTGATTGGCACCAATCTTCTAAGAGTTTACATGCATGGCTTCTTTATTGATTATCGACTATATAAGAAGGTGAGGTTGCTTCAGTGAATATATATTTTCAGTTTTCATGGAATATATAGACAGTCATAGGAAACTCGAGAATGTTTTTCAGGTTTATTTTGTTTTCCATCCACTGGGGCTTTTGCGGGGAATGTGCATATTCTATTGTAGTGAATGAAGTTGATCATTCAAAAATCAATCAGATTTGTCAGATCTGTTTGAGGGAATGAAAAAAAATTGTCATTCAAATACTTTGATTGCACACTATGGCAACTTTCTTAACTTGTTTCAGTATATATTTGGGTTATATATATTTATATTGCACAATATGGTATATGGTAGTATTGGATAGCTTTTTGGATTTAATAACATGGCTGCCCAAAAATGTTCTAATGCCATTCTATTTTCAGGCAAAGGCAACAGCAGATCCTTTTGCGCATGAAACCTATAAAGAGGAGCAGAAACAAAAACGTGCATCTAGAATTACGGTGAATATTTATATTGTCAAAATCAGCATTTTTATGTTCCTTAAAACTGTTTGTATCAGAAGTATTTATGTCTGGATATTTCTGCCATGTTCAGAAGTATTTATAAAACTTTCTATGAAAAAAGCAATTGAGTTTTGCGTTTCCACAATCTGATAGCCTTATTAGTATTGATTTTGAGAGTGAAAAGGCATCTTGTACTAGTTTTTTGTAAGAATTGTTTGTATTTTTGAAACCCTGCTTTCTAGAAATATCAAAATGTCTTTTAATTGTACATGTGAGATTAATACTGGTTTTTGGACAATCTGTTTCGTCTTTTGAAAATTGTGTTTTTCAAATATAATATTGGGTGCTCTTTATTCTGCTTTTAGATTTTTATAAGAGATAAATATGTTTGAAAATAATATTGAGCAGGCCCTAAATTTCTATATTTGTTAAGGAGACAAGTGTGAAAAATTAAAATTGATTTCTTACTGCATGTTCTGTGTCAAAATGACTTTTTTTATAAGTTCATGGTTCCCTGATGTAAATCCTTGGGCTTCCTGGATTTCCTTCTTTCTTACTCTTTAATTCTGGTAAAGTAGGAAGATCTGATTTGGGCTAATTAATATATATATCGTTCTTGATGCAGCTTAAAAGGAAATTACCCAAGGTTAACTGTGGTCTTGCAGCTCGTATCCTTGAAAACGAAAGTAAAGATGTTGACGACAACGAGTCTAAGAAGAAATCCAAGAAGAAGAAAGGCCTTGGCAGTGGTGTTTTCAAAGATGAACGATTTGCAGCAATCTTTGAAAATAAGGTATCATAATATGATTATCTGATTCTACTATCTGTTGTCAAGTTTAATATTATAATTTTCTTAATTTTCATATAATCTGTTGTAATGGTTTTATTTATGATGAGTTCCAACCTCATTGAGCTCTGATCCCTTGTGAAATAGCAAATATACTAACCTTTCTCCATTAGCATGTTGCAAGACTTCTTGTTTGTTACGAGACACCCAAGATAATGTATTGCATTTGTAAGACATTTTTTGCAAATCATCTTACAAATGCAATGCACATGACATTACTTTGAAAGTGGGAATTTGTGTAATTTGTTTTTTTCCCTCAAAAGGGGCTAAAATTGTTTAAATTTTGGATGAGGGTTATACTAATTATTTGTTGGGAGGAACTACAGGTATAATTCCCACCTTTAGTACTTGATTAGCATATTAATGGGGGCAACTACTGAATTAGAGAGAATAAAGTAAAGGAGTAGAGATGAATTGAAGAATATATAAAAAAAAAAAAAAAAAAAAGAAAGAGCGCCTATAGAAACTAAAACCAAACTCAATAAAAAGAAGCTAAAATTGAGTGACAGAATTGAATAAAAGAAAAGAAATTACCAGGAGAAAGGGCAGAAAGTGTAATCAACATTCTAATTATCTGGATGGCTGCTTCTTTAACTTTTTCTTCTCCCATGTCTGTGTTTGGTTGGGGTTTTATTTAGAATTTACAAGGCCAGGACAGCCAGTAGAACTGTTTTTTCTTTTTGGGACTCTTTGTACAAGCTTTCTTGGGAAGAAACAAAACTGGAACGTTGTTGAGGTGTATCATGTACAATGTACATGCCAGGGTTGACATCTGTGGAGATTTTAATCTGGGATTAATTACATTTTCATCCCTATTGTGCTTGGTCAGATGCTTAATTAGCAAACAAACATCATTCATTAAATTTGCCAAACAAAAAACAACTTTGAAGAAGGTTAACCATTATTTTTAACACTAATAAAGATTAAGCTGCCCATTTCAACAACATTCATTCAAAACATAAAAATTACTGATTGGTTTAGTAGTAACAAAACTAACATTATTTATTTATTTTGCCAAATAAAATACAACTTTTAAGAAACTGAAACAAATATAACTATACGTATACATCACAAAATATAACTAACTCTAATACAAGAATAAACAGCTCTTCCATCTATAAATTTAGGAATGTGTAATATCAGAAAAACCCTCTTCTCCAATATTGTACTCTAACTCCGATACAATAATACATCTTTAAAATTCTATCCAGGAAAAAGCTCATCAATAGTGGCAGAGTAATAATCTCTGATTTTAGGAATAAACTCTCCCCCGATGGAGGCGCAAGCTCATGCTCATTCTCAGATTGTGGTATCAGAATTTGCATTTCTTATATCAAGAGTAACCTCCTTCGCAAACAAGTCACAATGAGCCTCTGCCTCATGCTCAGACTATAAATGATTTCAAGAAAGGTAATCAATTTAATTTCCTCTTAAAGAGGCCGACAAGGTGATTGATGTTGAAAACATAAAGCATGTTATTGAGCGATCGAAAGGTGTTAGTGGAGTAGTAGCTTGAACCAGCATCCCGCTGAAGTTTGTTTATAATCATTTTATGCTACTTAATTAATTTAGTTGATTAATTATTTTTTCATGATAAATGCCAGAGAAAGTGTAATTTGGTGGGTTCAATTTGTACGTGCTTGTTTCCCAGAGCTCTAAGGATTCAGGTCCAAAAACCTTGTCATTTTGCAATTAAACAGTTTCAGCTTATCCCCATATGTAAAAAAATGTAAACAAGATTTTAAAAGAAGAATTAATTAAAACCTCCTCAGTCACGGCTATGGAATATCACCTGTCCCTCTTAAAAATCAGAACACTAGTACAAGATGTTGAAAATGATTGATGACACATTTATAGTATATGTCAAAAGATGTTAATTTTATTTATTTTTTGAGAAAGATACTTGTTACATATTGTGTTAAGAAACAAGTCCTTAAATTTATAAAGTTCATGACAGAAAGCACTATTAATATATTAATAAATAGAATAGTGAAAAGGGAATTATATATTGGGAAAAAAAAATGAATTGGGATATACTTATAGAATAATACTTTGGGTACTAATGAATGGGTACTAATATGTGTACTAACTAAAGCATAGTACCCGTACTATGCGCATAGTACGGGTACTATGCTTTAGTTAGTACACATATTAGTACCCATCCGTTAGTACCCATAGCATCACTCATACTTATAAATCAAAATAATTTAAAAATTTGGATTCCACTAAACAAGTCATTAAAAATCAAAACCCCTTCAGTATTGGATTAGTGGATTAATCATAAATTAAAATGATAATATTTGAAATAAAAATTAAAAAAGGAAACACAAACCAAAGAAGGAAACTTGACTTCTCTCAAACTTCAAATTCGTTTGATTCTCAAATGGAAACCAAAATAGGAAAGTACATTCATATAAACTTCTCTATCTGAAACTCTTTTGTCTAATAAATTAAAAAGAAAATAACTTAACTAAATAATGAATTTAACACAAACCAAAATCATCAGTTCATTATTAATGTGAACATTTATGGGAGCACTGATTTATGATAGGGAAGCTTTAGATAGATTATGGAGGGAGAATAAGTTGTTGAATGAGATACGAACTTAATTTCTTTTTGGTTCTTCCTAGAAATTAGGTTATTTTTTAAACCATTCTGAAAGTTTTCTTTAAAAAAAAAAAGAATTGAAAATGGAAAACTTGAAATTAAAGTTGGGTAGAATTACAGACTTGCTCGTTGTTATTGTGAAGACTTTCCCGCTGTGTATTCTCACTATCTTTGTTTTCTCTGCTTTGAGTCTTCTTTGTGTCTCATTTTATGTGTTTTTAGAGCCAAACCCAGGGGATTGTCTAAAGGATGGTGTTTTGTTGTTGATTTTTTAGCTAGATTCTCTCTTGGGTCTTATCTCCTATGTTGGTTTAGATAGGCTCTCAAGAGAATTATGTAGCGTCAAGCTTAGACATTTGTTTATTTTTTGCACCCTACACGGGGATGTTCTGATATAGGTTGGCCGCCTTTTTTGTAAGCCTTTGTAAATCATTCTTCTTTTAAATACAATTTACTTAGGAAAAAATAAAAAGTTGGGTAGAATTATTAAAAATTATTTTAAAATACCTCTTTTTGATCTACTTAACTTCTCCTCCATCATCTTCCCCTCAATCTATCTATCTTTTTTTTTTTTTCATTCATTTTTTGAGGGTGTCAAACCTTGAACCAGGGTGATTGGTGCCAAACCAATCACCAAGGTAACATGGTTGACATACATATAAGTGAAAAGGTGGTAACAAGAATATTGACATAAATATAACTGAAAATTTTGAAGAAAAACAAAGGAATAATACCTCATTTGGATCACCAGTGAAGGCCTAATTTGGTTCACATTTTACGTCATAGTTCTAAGTAAAAAATAATAAGTTAGAAAAATTTTAAGAAAAGAAAGGTATTTTAAAATACCTTATTTGTATCACCATTAAACGGTGGCAAATGGGAATCTAGAAACTTCCCATTTCGCTTAAACCTCGAGGTAGAGCATGTCATTTAATTTACTCTTATATACCAACCCTCCTGGCTCGAACCTGGGACCAAGCAATATGACCCCAAAGGGCATAGACACCACTGCGTCAACAGAGGGCCAGCGTAAAGAACTTTCAAATCTTTCCATTTTGTAATCTTAATGATACAATCTTCTTCACACTTAAACTCCTCCGTCTCATTCAGTAACCTATTCATTTAAACTCCACCCCATACAAACTCACTCACTCAGTATCTCTCACCTTCGTGGCTTCCACTTTCACTTTCCTGATCAATGGAACAATACCCTTTTTTTCCTTTTTCTTTTTCTTTTTCTTCTTCTTCTTCTTTTCCTCCAGGGAATCCAACTCCAAATATTTTTCATTCACCATGTTCGAATTGGGAGTAATAGACTTCACACTTAATCTAAAGAAATCAATGAATTCTCATACTTTATTCATCAATATTTAACTTCTTTTATACAAGAAAAGAAATCCTAATCCTACTTCAATATGGAAAAACGAAATATACTTTCCTAGTTAAACACAAACAAAACTCCGTGTGAAATAATATTTCTAATTAAGTTCTACTTCCCTAATTCGAATTATATTAAGAAAAGGAAAATACATAAACTCATATTCTCATTTTTAATTAAACTAAAATCCTAAAACTGGAAACAAACTTAAACTTGAACTCTTGCTTGAATTTTCTGTTGCTACGCTTTCTTTTCTTCTTTTCTTCATCAAGTCACGTTTGTGCCACAACATGCGTCTACTTCTTCCTCGTTTCTTCTTTGTGTCTTCAACTTGAGCCATGTTTGCACTTCCTCATTTCTTCAACTTGAACCATGTTTGCACTTCCTCGTTTCTTCAATTTGAGCCATGTTTGCACGCACCAAAATAGGTTCATTTTTCAACACTCCTTGAACCTTTTTGGTGCTAATTCCACGCAAGTTCTTTGACATTTCCGTTCCTTGAAATTTGGAGCCACCATACTTCTTTTTCACTTCCTTTGACTTCTTCACTTCTTGACTCGAATGATACTCCTCCTTAATTGGTTCTAACATGGCGCTTCTACAACTTTGATCAATCTCCTCAAGAGACTTCATTCCTCTTGCTCCCACATCATCTACCCCTCTATTTTCTTGAGGGTCTTTTTATTTTCTCCATGTTATGGAACTAGGATAACCCAATCTATGTTGCCTTCCTACTTGGCAACTCCCATATGCTTTATCTATGACCTTTACGATCGGTAATATTGATACTTTCTCCTCCTTACTTCTAAGGACATCAACATCCATAGCACTCCAATCCACTACAAAGCTTCTATTTCTCATGGGCACATTTATAAATTCAACTCCACTAGAGTCTTTTATTTTGCACACATTATTTGCAAATTCAAACACAAAACCTTTTTGCATCATTTGTCCAATACTTAGCAAATTA